AGCTAGTCATCACCAACCACTGCCAGCTCTTGGGCTATCTTTTACCAACAAATAATGGGATTGACCATCACATTATAATGCTCCCATGGCTGAAAGGGCGAGCATGTTTGGTGCGTCGAGAATTCGAACCCGCGACCTGCAGATTGCGAGTCGACCACTCTAACCACCAGGCCACGCCTGGCCCTACCTAAATGGGGAAGTGACTTCTCCCTGTTCTGGGAGTCTGGGCTTGACCTCTGTTTATCTGGCTATTTTTGTTTGTTTTATATTAATAATATCTGAAAGTATGAAATACAGGTATTTCTAACATAAAGCCATTTAAAAAACAAAACTGGTTCTCAGAAGGGAAAATTTTAAAACTATCAGGTAATCTGACTTTTTCTTTACACATCACTTACCACCAAAGCAATTATTACTCATTTATGGATAATTTCACAACAGGAAACCACTTGTCATGTAGTTCAATTGCTGATTACATGTTGATCATATTTATTCTAACTAACTGTCACTACTCAGAGATGAAATTCACCAACTTGCACATTACAAAACCACTCATACACACCTGAAATCAAACTTACTAACCCCATTTGGCCTAAAGTAAAATTGTATTAAAAGGAAAAAGTGGGAATTTACCTTCAATAGCTTTGGTGGCAGTGTCTACCAAACTAGGCCAATCAATTTCTCCACCTTCGGGGAGGGGCATAATTGCCTGAAGGGGCTGAGAGCCAGAGGCTGGAAGGGGATTCAATTTACCAGGAACTCTGTCTGACATGACCCTTGGAGAAAGCCTAAAAGTGATGTAGTGTTGGTTAATAATAATTTCTATAATAAGTTTGCAGCTTAACCACTATTATTGTTCTAATTTTTAGCTCACTGGTTAAAAATGCATCATATATATTTTACTACAATGACAAAAATTCAAAAATAGTTGTTCAACTTTCATAAATCAATAAACTGATCCTGAAGCTGAAACACTTTATGATCATTTATAACTTATCATTGTTTATAAGTAATTTAAAAAACAAACAGATGTGAATACTTATATAAAACATCAAAGTAACTAATACATCACATAAAACTTTAAACCACTTTAAATATAGAAGTTAAAATAGTTCTGAAATATTTCATAAAGTTACATGCTGAGTGCATCATCCAGACATGTTTTAGGAATGAAAAATTTTTATCTATAGATAATAGCACTGTTTTATTTATTTTAAATTTTTTTTAACAATACCTGTATTAAAAGTTCATATTACTCCAAGTAGGCATTGTTACAAACGCAGAGACTTTCTCAACTTTTTAATACAAGCCTCTTTTGACCTAAACATTATTTTCACATTTTCATTTAACATCAAACAAAGACTAGAAATCAAATTGCTATGCAAAATTGTTTGTTTTTGAATTTCGCGCAAAGCTACACGAGGGCTATCTGTGCTAGCCGTCCCTAATTTAGCAGTGTAAGACTAGAGGGAAGGCAGCTAGTCATCACCACCCACTGCCAACTCTTGGGCTACTCTTTTACCAACGAATAGTGGGATTGACCGTCACATTATAATGGCTGAAAGGGCGAGCATGTTTGGTGGGAAGGGGATTCGAACCCGCGACCCTCAGATTGCGAGTCGAGCGCCTTATCCACCTGGCCATGCTGGGCCACTTTGCAAAATAATAACACTTACAAAGTTATCAAATAGTTATTAACACTATTGGCTTAAAAAAATCACAAAATCCTAAATCTACATTTTCAAGGAATAATCAGTTCTTTCTAACCTTTCTTCTTTTGACATTTTTGCCTCTGGATGTGACGACACAGAAATCACCTGGGCTGGCTGAGCTTTGGTCACAATAACGTCATCATGATGGTGTGCTGTCCCGGATATTTTTTCAATTCCATTTTTCTGACTACCACCAGTACTTCTTTCTAAAGAAGAGTAGGGTGTGGACAGCTGAGTGTGGGACCCACTCTCCGAAGGCACAGAGTCTGGACGAGAGGATGCAGCCTAGGGTAAAACAGGCATAGATGCTTTATTTGTTTTTATGTGCCTGTGCATTCTTTTTACAGTAATCTTAACCATTCTTGTATTTCAGGATTATATTGTGTAGCTGTATTTTTGATACCTGCTTGTGTTATACAGAACATGCTTAATTTGAAATTAATGCATAAACATTTACTGTTATATCAGTTGATGTACTTGATAGATTTGTAACTAATATTTTAAATACACTGCTAAACATTCACTAATCATTCCATACGGTACAGCAGACAATTGCTAATTAAACATTTGTGCAAAGCAAGTATGACAGTTTAAAATTATTAACTTATTTCCTACAGAGAATGTTTTGACAGCTGGTTGCACATAGATTATGGCAATCTAAAATTATTAATCTATTTTCCATAAGGAATATTTAAGTTTCTATAGAACTAAAAGCAGACTTGTACATTTAGTTAAACTAAAAAAAACCTCTTGTTCTCATTCACTCTCTAGTTTGCATACAAGTTAACAAGAATTAATTCATAAGCCTCAAAACACTTTACTGTAAACAACAGTCTCTGTCCAATCTTTTGAAACTTCATCAAAACAAAAACATATTTATGACTTTAAAATTTTCCAACTTTATTAGTGTGTTACAAATAAATGCTTAAAAGCTAAATGTTTTTATATAATATTTCACCCAAACAGTAAGTGTAACTACTATTTTTACGTTTACACCACAAGTAATATTCTTTAAAGAATGATTGCTCAGTGAGGTTTTCTTAATGTTATATACCAAAAACTACTAAATTGTAACTGATAGTTAATCAATATGTTTTCCTTTATGTTACATCAATACTACTGAATAGTAGCTAATATTTATTCAATGTCTTCCTTTATGCCATACAGCACTTTTTAAAGGTTCAACTAGTTATTTCATAAGGTCTTCTTAGAACAGCACATGAAGTAGTAACATGCTTTATCCAAAATTATCTGTTTGTTAAAATCTGTAAATATCCATTCTTCTAAATTGAAGATACCTTTAAGTACATTTAACAATGTAATATAACTACTTTTTAGTTACTTTACCCACCTCACTGTTACTGTCACTGTCTAAGAAGTCTGGACTGATAAGTTTTAGCAGGTCTTCCTGTAAGGTACTGTTGCTAGCAGTGCTGCTTCCACTGCTGCCTGTGCCTCCCAGTTTTCCACTTCGAATTGCACCAGATGTGACTCCAGGTCGCAATCGACTCAACTTGACATGAGAAGGTTCTAATAATGCTCTAATTATAAAAACAAACTCATCTATAATCTAAATCATTTTTGGTTAAATAACTTTGAGAAAGAAAAGTAGTCAATGTTCTCAAACAACTGCACTGAAAAATATCTTGAAAATGGAATTCATGGGTTCTATAACATTTCTTAGAAAAATGCTTGAACTTGTAAAAAGTATTCACTGCACTAAATGGTTCACACAGGTACATAGATTATATATTTACTTGACATTGTTGCCCAGTGTTGTTATCAAACTATTAACCCAAATTTTGCTAACATCAGTTTCACATTTAAACTGATAATTTCCAGCACATCTTGATTCAAAAAATATTTCATCATTATATATATATATATATATACATACAAGAATTATAAATCTATTTATAATTTTATTAATCTTTTACAGTACTGTTTAAGTCAACTAGTCAAAAATTTTAAGCATCAAATGATAAATGTTTAAATGTTATTTTGACCCTTGTTGTTGTTGGCTGCTTGAAATACTTACTTCCAACATTATTAAAAAACAATTTAAGCAAAGTAAATTTTTCACATTATTTTGACTTAGCCAGTAATATACTTTTCTTAGGTCAGAAATCCCCTTTTTTTGAAGGAATGTGGATGATGATATTTATCAAGTAGTCAACTAGTTTATTTCAAAGGTACAAAACATGTTTCTATACTTACATTCACACACATACAAAAATTACAAGTACATATATATACATTATCTTTACGTGAAAACTGAAAAAGCCACTATTTAATCATCCAATGATCTTAAAGTGCATTATTTCCATTAATGGCAAAATAATAAAAATGTTTCTTCTAGCTGTTTGAACAGTTATTTATGAAATGTATTAATTTAAGCCTGTACTGACCTTCCTACTGGATGAGGGCTCCGTGGACTATTATTACTAGGATCTGTGCTATAATCTGTTCTGAGATGAGGAAGACTTCGAGGTGGTGTACTCCGAACATTGGTGCTGGCTAATTCATCTGAAACAAAGTAAAGTAAGAATATTTATCTTGTTATTTATCTTTACTATGCTAGACATACATTACACAATCATTGATTGACATCTGCATCCTTACAATAGTTAATTTACCTAATTAAAAATAATGTTTATTAGTTTAAACAATCTTAGTAAAAAATACAGCTTCTTCACCTTCCAATACCTGCAAAAAAGAATATGTTAAACCTAGAAGCAAATTTAGCATGATACTATACAATTACTAAAAAACTAACTTTCTTTCCATAAGGAATTTTTCCTATGAAGAGACTTGCTAGATTAAGTACTTTCAATTATATATAAAAACTGATTCTTTTCAGTATAAGTACAAGTTAAAACTATAGGTTTCAAAGGAAAATGTTTAACAGTTGAGTTATTTTCAAATAGGCTACTGAAAGAAATTAGAAGTTTTAATTACAACACCTGCACTACTTGCTCCTTGGATCCACTCGCTTGAACTGTCTGACTGGTAATCGGAACCAATTTGATGTGGAGATGCCTTTTGAGCCTTTCCTCGTCTTGATTCCCTTGACATGGACGAAGATTCCTTTAACTCTACAACAGTGGGTTTCACTGGGGCAGTATAGGCTGTAGAACAGACTGAAGCTGCAGAAAAAGGAAGGTGGTGTAGATGAGGCTGAGAAATCCCAAGCTGAGCTAAAGAGAGCTCACTTCTGGAAACCACCATATCTCCAACATGTGCGAGAGAACTTTCTAAGTCTCCATGATCATGAACTGAAGCAGGCTGATGATAATGAGTTACGTGACTAGAGCTATGATGGGCATGAGAAGTGGAATTGGTGTGATGTCGTGGTGGAGTGCGAGGAGGACCGGGAAGAGACAGAAGTGGACTAGATGCTACTTCATGAAAAGCAAAACTAGATGCTGACTGGAAGCGAACAGGAACTGGAGGAGGGGATTCTCTTGTCGAACCATTTACTCCTAGAGTATAATGCCCAACGTGTGTTTCTCTTGAAATCTTTTCATTGGGATTAACCTTGCCCTGTAACATAAAGTAACCTACTTCTTCATATGAAATAAAAGATGAGGTAGATTTTAAATAACAAATGGAAGTCACTAAATATTCTTGCAACACAAGATTCATTTCAAAAGCTTCACAAATTAAACAAACAAGCTTAGAAATACTATAACTACACATCTTGAGTCTGACTCACATACGTTTTTCCACACACACAAAACATTAGATCCACTGAAAACACCATGTGACTGACATGACCTGCAGAATACATGTTTTTCTCCCCGATACACTATAGTATGAATTTCACAAGGTAACAAATAAATATATTTAGAAGCAATTTGTTCTTTCAAACAATGTTTAGAATCAAAATTATTATAAAAAACGTAACTAGACAGCTTTTACCAATGGCAAATAAGGTACATTTTGGGTAGATTTCATGTGTTTTCACAAGGCAATTATTGCACTTTTGATGTAAAGTTTTAATGAAGCATTTTAGTTTACTATACAATATTTGTAATTTTATACATGTACTTAATGGTTAAAGAAAAAGAGAGGTATGTATTATCAAAAACTTTACAATCATGTCGCTATCAAACTCTTATATCATCCAAATAAACTGTATTAACATCTCAGTACCATGTTCTCAAATGTAAATTTCTTTATAATTTTTACCACAGATAAAACATTTAACTTTTTATATTAAAGAAGTTTAAAGCATTTCATGAACAATTTCAATATTTTTTATAAAAAATAGTATGAAAAATTTTCTAAATGAACTCTTCTCAAATTTATAATTTTATCTCAAGCAATTTATTATTTTTTTTAAAAGAAAGCAGTTTATTTTTACTACAAGATTAGGTAGTGCAAGTTATTTTAAGGTTTACCTCATTGTTCTTGTATCTTGTGGTTCCAGCAACAGATCGACTGGAGGAAGATTGCCCTGATGCACAAGTGGGTCGTTGTGAGCCACTGCTCTTACTAGAATTTAAACACAGTACAAATTTATACTGAAATGTATATTACTGGATGAACATTGATCTATTAACATTAGATGCTGACTCTACAACAGTGGTTGTGACTGGAAGCGAACTATACATCCAGTTTACTTATAATGGCCATATAAGAAAATGTGGTATCTCTTTAAGTTTAACCCTTTTGCAATGACTCATGGTGATATACATACTATAACTCTGAAAGTACTTGATGTACCTTTATGAAACCTGGCAAGCTTTCAGTAAACATTAAAAGTATTTTGTAGACAAAAAAAAAATCAGATTTTCTAATTAAGTATTTTTACTAAAACTTTGTCTATAATTATATGGAGTCAGACTGCAAAATGATTTTTTATGTTAATATTAAAAATAATTTTCTTCATCTGAAAATTTTGAAATTTTATTTGCATAATCTCTAAAACCTAAATAAATATCAAAATTGTTGTTTTTTTCAGAAATTTTTTATATTTTTTCAGTAATTTTCTAGACTATAACTCTATATGTGATTGGTCAATTTGACCAACCTTCTAACCACCATAAAAAAAATTAGGAAATAAATATAGATTACCATTTTTTCTGCAAATTGTAATAGGAAACCACAATTGTTTTTTTAAATAGCTTAAAGCTTGTAACAGTATACATCTATTTATAATTTATTACATTATTTTATTGCCATTTGAACCATGTCTAACTGATAATCCCACTACACAAGTTGTAAATCACTCAATGAACATGCAGCTTATGTTATCATATTGAATTACTTAACTTACAAGCTGCTCGCAATAATTTCTCTTGAGGAATTTTTTTATTATTATTAGTTTTCATTATCTTACCTAATTTAATCTAATACGTTTCTAATTTTTACATTTATAATAATCAAAAAGAATGCACATGAAAAACAACAAATATAATACCTACTTGGATCTTATTTTTTGCTGTCAACTTATCAGTGAAACTTAAAGCCAATTTTTTTTATACTAATGATACTACTACAATAAATATTTTTTTTTATTTAATTAACTAATGCACCCAAGAACAGGATAATGACATGCAAAAAACAAACAATGTTCTATAACTATCATGATTATTCTGGCTTTTTAACTATTCTATAAGAACCTTTAGAAATTCAGCTAAGCTTATCGATTTGATTCTTGTGAGAAAGAAGTGTAGAACTGAAAGCAATATAGACAATTCTCTGTATAGAAAACAACATGTCATTTGATAAATTAATACATTGGATTTCTACTGGTTACAAATAATATAATATAAAACATCAGAGAAATCTATTGGCAATTTGTGAAAGAGAGGATGTGACAGGTGAACATGGCAAGTGTATCTGATTTTCTAGTTTATGGCTCCAAAAGTAAATAAGATAAAAAGCTATAAAAATTATGCTTTGCCTGAGTAATATTTTTATTACAATGCATAATTTACAAAAATTCCATAGTTATTGGAAGAATGGTAAATAAATCAGAGAAAAGGGGAGACCTAGAGAGCAAATGTTACAATTCTCATACTAAGGTTGATTGAAGATTTAAAAAAAATATTTCCTTATAAAATTGAGAACTCAAAACCTGAATAATATTACAATTTTATTTACAAACTAATTTTTGATGCCAATTGTGTTTGTATACATCGATAATAAAGTAGTTTAATTAAATTTTGAACTTAACTATGTAAAAGGTTGTGACATGCACACTTTGACCTACCTGTTGATAAAGGGTTAATTTAAGTTTTATAATACAGATGAACCAGTGATTTAAGGATTTTTTTGTTTATCAAGTGTACAAAAAAAATAAAAAAAAGAGATAAAATGATATGAGAAGCAGCAATAAGTTTGTTTATTAAAACTACTATAAGAACTAACTGGATCATGGAAGTAAATCAATTTATGTTTATCCCTCATTACATTGTCCTTCTAAAAGACCCAACTATAATATGAGAAGTTTTATTACTTCTTTATTGTGATCCTACTCTCAGTAGTAACTGGATCATAGAAGTAATTCAACTTATGTTTATCCCTCATTACATTGTCCTTCTAAAAGACCCAACTATAATATGAGAAGTTTTATTACTTCTTTACTGTGATCCTACTCCCAGTTGTAACTGGATCCTGGAAGTGAATCAGTATATTTTTACCTCGTTATTACTGTCCTTCTATGAGAACCAACTACAATGAGTTTTTATTTTACTAAGTACATTACTGTAATCCTTCTCTCAGGGACAAATGTATCCTGGAAGTAAACTGATACATATTTTTACCTCATAACTGTGATCCTTTTATGAGAACCAACTTGTTGTTATGGTCCTGTCCTGAAAACCAAAAATGGAGCAAGATAATGAATCAAAACCTTTGAATCTTGCTGCCATGCTTCTATTCTAAATAGCAATAAGTCTAATAGAAAATGATTTTTTTTCTTTTTTCACCTGGCTGCTGTGATTCTGTTCTTTGATGCAGTTGGAGCTTGCTGGTGAGGAGTTGATTTGTCTTTGGAATATTTAGCTTTCTCTTCTTCACAGCCACCTACATTTTCATAGTCACCACCAGTTTGGGCTACAAGGTAGTTACAGTTCTGTAGTCCACAACCCCTGAAAATAACAAGAGATATATTAGAGTACATACCACACTGCTAATGAAAAATTTGTTCTTAAAACTGTGAGGAAGATTATTAATGAATCAGTCAATTTTGAATACATACAGAACTCTATAAAAATTTAATAGCACTTTAATTACGAAATTTAAATTATCAAAATTTTTGATAAAATCACAATATGGATTTGGCATTTTCACACGACCAGATGATGATTTGAACAAAACATTTGGCTACTGAGCAATTTTGCTATGGACTGATTCCATATTGAAGAAGGAATTTTATTATAATTCTGAATTCACTAAGTGTATTTACTTTTGTCCATTGTACATTTTATTTGCATAACCTCTAGAACCTTTGAAATGTAAATCTACAGTTTTTTTCAGTATTCTTGTCTATTGTATCTGGTAAATTGCTTTCTTCTACCACGAACTGTCGCTAAATCAGCATAGTAAGATAAAATGAATAATTGATAACTCTTACATCAAATACATAATACCATGTCGAATGTCACTCTGTAAAAGGTCATGGCATGTGCAAATAGGATAACATAATTTTCAACTATTTCCTAACAAACAAAGGGAAACAAAAATACTGAGTGCAAACCTGCGAGGTGTTCGATCTGCCAATGGAGGAATAACTGTCACAGAGACTGTCATGGATGTTTTTAAGAGATCCACCATCTGATCATAGCTTAATGTGGCCACTGCCACTTTACATATCTATGCAAGGAAAACAAAAAAAAATTTCAATCAAAGTCTTATGTATTTAAATTAACACTACAGACACAATGTTCAAATGTTTAATAATATGGCAATAAGATCAATTATTTCAAAACAACTGATCTCTTACTATTAATAAACTATGAAATGTAACATAACTTTAATGCTAAAGCCTATACATAAACAGTTTATATAATAACAATGCTTTACAATGCTGATTATGCATAAATATCACCTTCAAATGAAAAGTAAGAAATTTTTAGTCCATCCATGATATGAAATCACGTAAGAAATATTATACAGAGTTTTTATTAAGTATATATATGCATAGCAAATGAAAAGCTATGTTTGAGCACAAAGGTAGTGTTGGGGGAAAGGGTGATGAAATTAAATATGAGTAAATAATGCTGTATTTACATTACAAAAAATACAACTTCAAATGATGTATGCATTTTTAATGTCCTTCCACCAGATACGTTAGTAATTTATTGCACAAGTTTATAATATGAGCAGCATTACTGACTAATAACATGTGTTGAGCATTTATTCTTTGGCATGTTTCGCGAATGAAAAAAAAACTCAAATGCTTTGATATGACTTTTGCTTCAGTTCATTCTTCTGATATGATCATTTCTAGTTGACATTTAAAAATAAAGAATAGGATATTATCGCTAAATCTATTAGTACTCACTGTCAAGATCATTGTTTATAAGGTTATCATATAGTCACTAAATATACCAATCATATATTTCTATTCTTTATGATAAGTTAAAAAGTTGTGTTCACCTATTATGTTAGTACTAATAAACATAAAACCATTCTGAAATGTCATTAATAACAACTTCACATACTCCAATAAAATGCATGACTAAAGAGTGAGCGTGTAAAAGTCAAACAGTGTTGTAAAGCATGTGATTCATTGCCCCTCCCTGTCCTAGCAACTTAATCAGCTCTAGAGTCAGGAGGCTAACTAGTAAAACTATCAAGACAATAACAATTAAGGTTTAAAGAATGGTACTTATTACAGCTTCTAAAGGAAAATGGAGTTTTTGTTAAAAATATAATCATTTACCTGGAGTGTTCAAAGACAAATCCCATTTTTTGTTGTTGTTTGCCTATTATGAGTAAACTGTGTTTAGACAAATGAATGTGTTAATAGATCAATACAATGCTAGCCACATTATATGTTACAGTTTCCCATGATAGGTAGCATGCCTTACAAAATGAAAAAAGTTATTGGCACTGGTTTTTCAAACAGCATATTACAATGAAATTCCTAATGAAGGAGGACATGACGATTGTGTATACATGTTAAAATCAAGTTTCTAATAGAGGAGGACACAAAGGTTGTGTATACATATTAAAATCAAGTTTCTAATGGAGGAGGATGTAAAGGTTATGTGTATGTGTTATAATCAAGTTCCTAATGAAGGAGAACGTAAAGGTTGAGTATACGTGTTATATTCAAGTTCTTAATAAAAAGAGATGCAAATGTTGTGTATATGTGTTATAATCAAGTTCTTGACAAAAAAAGATGCAAAGGTTGTGTATATGTGTTATAATCATGTTCTTAACAATGAAGGGTGAAATGTTTGTGCATGTACACGACAGTTAAAAAACTTGCAAGATGGTCTTTCCTTATCAGGTTATCATAAGTGTATAAGCAAGTCGTAAAGTGGCTGGCCAAGTAACTACAAGAAATTGTCTAAAATCAGAATGGCAGTGAACTGCACCAAAAGATGAGATGATTGGGAGGGTAAATGAGATGATCAGAAAGGAACAGATATATTCCAAGGATGTTAATGGAACAACAAACGTAGAACAGACTTGACATCTGCAATGAGTTAGTGCAGCAATTTCATATTGAAGAAAATCTTGACTGAATTGTCAGAAGTGATGAAAGTTGATTGATAATTTGAGTTGGAAAGTAAAATATCAAAATATCATGTTGTTGGCCAACAGGATAAAAAAAATTCCTTTTTTTTAATACCTCTTATATTCTTCATATTAACACAAGCATTAAATCAAGTAACAATAAACTTTTCAAATGATTTCAGATTCAAGAATAAAGAAAATAATATGTAACACAATAAATTACATTTTGTAAAAATCTGTATGTATACACAAGTAAAACTAAGAAAGTGCACCAATTACTAAAAATGTTTTACATACTAACAAAACCCAGAAAGCTTAAAATAGTGGAATTGCTAAAACATCACTGCATCTATCAGCAGATAATACAGTTGTATATCATATTAAGTCTTATATGTATTTACAACAACACAATATGTAAAGGTTTTACCTCTACAAGGCGACTACCTTGTCTCAACCCAGCCTGCCAGGCAAACCCATAGCTTTCAACATCTGTCACAATTCCTTCATATTGTACATGAAATCCTAACTGCCCAAGACTGTTTCGACGGAGAATCAGTTCTTGTGTCTATAGGAAAGAAATTCTACAATGAAGTTAAATTTTGAAGAAAGTATGCATATCCTACTGTAAATGTTTCTGGAATAATTAAGTTTTCCTTTGTGAGAATCCTCATAAAGCATTTTCTAATAGAACAGAAACTTAATTTATCACAATGTTGGATTCAACAAACTACAAAAATGGTCAATTCCTTAATAAACATGAAACTTGTCAGCTAGTTGACATACCAAGTTTTGATTTTATTATAATTAAAAACATTTTTCAAAACTAATACCAACTACACATGAATGTCTATATTTTAACGTAAGTACTTGTTACATCTGAGTTTTATGTTTAAGAACATGTATAACTCACATAGCAAATATTGTGTATATCAGCTACATTATAATATGTTTCAGCTCCAGACACATCTAAATGTTTAACATTTCACTGACAGTACCAGCTACATCTAAATTTTTACATTTAAGCATTTTATATCAATTAAATTTAAATTATCATATTTCTGCTTCATTATTTACCTTACCTAAATGAATGTACTTCAGCACCAGTATTATTTGCATCGAAATTTTTACATTCCAGCATTAGCACAACTCATTTTGAATGATTACATTTCATCATTCACAGTTGTCACATTTAAACCGCTATATTTCAATAACATTGTCTAATTTTTAGCTTCAAATTATTTTTTGTCAAGTCAAACTGCATCAGCTCCTTCTATAAGATATAAATATAAAAAAGCTAAATACTGTCACATATCTACATTTCTGTACTTCTTAAGTTACATGCCTCACATCCTTGGGTAACACAAGCTAATCGACTGACAATCTCTTGGATTTCATCCACATCAGGATCTTTGGTATTCAAAACTAGACATTCACCTTGATGGTAGAAAATTTTTAAACTGAAAATAAATATTTTTGTTTACATTAGCAACAATCACACATCCTCATATAATAACAAGCTTTACAAGAGCACTGAAATTAAACATTATTGTTGTGATTTTTTTAAACTAGCTAATAATAAATACAAATCAACCAGTAGCAAAAGCTTAGTTATTTGCAATTTATCTCAGAGCAAAAAATAAATATCTATTTTTGCTCCAATAATTAAATAACATTTTAATAATTCAATAAACTACAACTCACTATTCTGCACATAACAATGCACCTATGGGTCTAGTTATTTTCAATGTATCTCAGAGCAAAAACTAAATACCTGTTTTTGCTCCAATGATTAAATAACAATTTAATAATTCAATAAACTACAACTCACTATTCTACACATAACAATGCACCTATGGGTCAAGAGCAAGTTCAAAATCCAAAATACAAATTTTACAGGTCTAGGTAAAACAACTTTTCTATTTTTACATACCTACTAGTATGTGAAGACCAACCAATCACAGAACTGCAAGGACATGTAAATATTACTTCCTTGCTATTTTCTTCAATCAAAACTACTGTATCAATAGAAATACCTAGTAGACAGTCATCTATCATACGAGATTGACCATGGTCTTCAACCTACAAATAGCAGAAATGAATCCAATGTTATATATTTTCAACTAATATATTAAAAACTTTCATTCCAAGTATCACAGAAATATGTACAGCTGTCCCACTTCCAAATAAATCTTCAAACTGATTGAAACTGGAATACTTGTAACCTAAAGATAGAACACAATCACATATTTATATTGTTTAAAACCCATTCAATGTAAAGAATACTCGTATTTAAGACAGAATTCAACTAGACTACTCAAAAACATGATTGTGTTCTTTGTTTCAAATCAATATAACAAAATATATGATAAATGTAATAATTAAAATGTATCTGTATTTAAACAATAATATATGAAACCATAAAAAAGACAGATATATAAACTACTAGTAATATGAAAATTTCACATTTTTGGGTTAAAAAATGCTTTTGAGATACCAAAAATGAGATTTCTAGTATCAGACAATGAGCTTGAGCATGAATATTTAACAAAAGTAAAACAGCCATCTAATGTATTTCTCTTAATGAGTTTGTTTGATTCTGACAGTTTTTTGTTCTACATTGAATTAAACTTATCCATATTGATCATATTTGTAAGTAGTAACTTCATTTGAAGTGTATCAAAAATGAAAAGCTACAACTGTTTAATACTGATCTAACAACTGAAACTTTTATGTGACCAGTCTTCTTGGACTATAAATAACGATTTTTATGACATGGTTTAAAACATAAATTCTAACACTATTGAAACAGTAATAAAAAAGTGATTGCTACATCAATTCAAGTGTAAGATATACAAATGAATTCAATGGTTCTCTTAAGTACATATTAATCTTTAGCTTAGTCAATTAATATGTGTTTAGAATGTATATTAAAATATGTAATAGTCATGTATATAATCATAGTTCAGTAGTGATAATTCTTTATATATATATATACACACACACACATACACACACACACACATATGCTATTATCAGTGATGCCTTTAGTACAGAAGAATGACTCTTGAAAGGAAGTGAGGCCATGTGTCATGGACAAGTTCAACAACTTATGTCACACTTGGTTGAACACACTTAATGACCTGGAACAGTGTCTGCTTTGTGTCTTAGAGAATACAGAAACCTTGAAGAGCTTTACAAAAACAGGCTCTGACCCTGAACACAATCATAATTAGTGTAACCTGACTTTCATCATATCTAAGCAACTTTATCAAAGTAAATTTCATAGCTATACACTCACACACACACATATATATATATATTGAACAAAAAACAGATCACCCCTGGAAATAATATACTCTCAACTTCTTTTGTTTTGATTAAAGTATCTATTAAAAAGGTTTTCTAACTTACCAAGTGTAATTTCTTAACAGCTGTTTTGTTTGTGTGTATTATTTTTATTCAAACAGAAATTTTGAAAGTTTTCCCTTTCTTCTGTTTTTTTAATAATCAAATAAAGCTCATAATGTATCTTAATTTCTTTAACTAATAGCATAAGTTACTACATTTCAAAAATATTTCAATCCTCTATTATCTGACAGACACACATAGAACAGTGGTACAACCAAACATTTCAGAATTAATTCAAAGTCTAAAAATCTTTTGGGAAACCATATTTTCTGTCAAAACCTTTTATTTACCACCAGCACCAAAGGGTAGTAAAGCTGCTTCAATTGATATTGTATTAAAAGGAGAAGTAAAATATTATTTTATTTTTCCAAAATTATCTTTTGTAATAAAACAATTCCTTTTTTATGTACTAGCAACTATGGTATTCTATGGCTTAAGACTTGCCAGATTAACTGTGTTTCACAGCTAGAGAAAAAGTAATGTACAACTTTAAGTCAAGTGCACCTGTTTTTTGGTTTAAAATCTTGCATACTTTCATGTTATTAAAGGGAAATAAGTACATTAAAGATTGATAAAATTAGATTTTGTAAACAAATAAAATAAGTCTTTTAAATTTATAGGTAGATACATTACAAAGTAGGTTCTAACAAAATAACATAAAACATAAGTATCCGTAGTTTACTTATTTATGACTAAGAAATATGTAAATAATCTAAATCTGCAGAAATACCAACATTAATTTCTTTAACACTTTTGTATAAATTATTCTTGATTTAGCATAAAACTACACAGTAGGCTATCTGCATTTTGTCTGCCATGGGAATTGAACCCCAATTTCTAATGTTACAAGTTACTAAGCTTACCATCAGAAGACACGTTTTTGTAAAAAAAAAAATTTTGCTTTTTTTTTAACGTGTAAAGCTACACAATATATTATCTGTGTTCTTTCAACTGCAGAGAAACAAAACCTGGATTCTAGCATTGTAAGTTTGTACACTTCTACATATGTGGGAGATTAAACATAAATTTACCCTAATTTCAAATGAATATAATAATTATTTATAAACTAATTAACACACAATTTCTCTATCCAAAGTTTTTCACTAAACATATTTGGAATTTAACAAAATTTCCTCTTAAGTGTCTCCAAAAGATGAGCTTAATCATTCTTTGTTTGACATAGCATTAACTTTAAAATGCCCAGGTGCACTGATTTGATGCACCTGTTCTATGGTTTGTATCACTGCACTGAAAAAGAAAAATTAGTGGATGAAATTGTCTGAAATTTGGGATGAAGCATCTACAGGTTATGTAGCTTCTGCAAATAAAATTTTGTTTATTTGATAGTTGTCTGGATTTGCAACTCTGAACATATGAAAAGGTTTCATTGTTATATTTTTTTAAGAAGCAATTATAATTGCTTAGCTTTGTTGTAGATTTTAATTACTTATTTTTATGTCTTTCTACATTATTTTACACTAAAAATATTTTGTTTCACATCCTCCATGTGCAAAATTTTATAAGGCTTAGCAACCTATGATAAGCAGCAAATGAGTACAAAGGTCATAACTAGAAGAGATAATTGTTTGCTTTACGTCTTTATTTACTGTTCTGTGTTTTAAGAAAAATATGTTTAAGAACTTATTTGTAAATAGTAATAATGTATATGCATACATAATATATAATAATAGAAATGTGACTGTATTTTACAAAATACTAGTCCACTAAAACATAGTCAAGACAGGTTACACTGTAAAGACTAAAGGTCAGTTTTATATTATTGGATTTAGTAACACGAGTGCATGTGTGTCACTTCATTATAACTTCTGTATTGTTAGCCAGGCATGGCTGAAAGGTCAATATAATAAAAATAATAAATATATATAAATGTATAATGTTATAAGACTTAAGCTATTTAGTCTAAACATTTATGTTTTCGTGTTATAATTTGTAATCATTCTAGAATGAAAAAGACATAGTATATATTTCCTAACTTTTTATGGTGGTTAGAAGATTGGTCAAATCAACTGAACCCGTACAGAGATTCGTTAGTGAAAGTGTTTTTTTAAAGTTAAGCACAAAGCTACACAAAGGGCTATCTGTGCTCTGCCCACCATGGGTAGCAAAACCCGATTTCTAGCATTGTAAGTCCGCAGATGTACTGCTATGCTACTGGGGGCAATTAGTGAAAATAACAGATAAAATAAAAAAGTTTTTTCTTAAAAAATGGTTGATAACTATCTGAACATTATTAAGATTCCACATGTGAAATTTGAAAATTTTCTGTTACATTAAAGTATTTTTAATCTTAAAATGAAAATGACTTTGCATGTTGGATAGGCAACATGTGAAAAGAAAAAAGGCACGAGAGAAATATTGCTTAACAAACCTTAAGATTTAATAATAAAAAATTTTATATGATATTTTGCATATGAAAGCTTTGTAATGTTTACTGATAATCTGCCAAATTTCATGAACATATGCTTACTAATTCAAAAGTTATAGCATGAAAACTATAACAAGCACAAAATGGTTACAAGGTCGGTCCCAGGGACCAAGTGCATGTTGAAAGAGTTAAAGGGGAACTTTACACTAACAAAAATTTTAAGTGCAACTAAAAACTCTTTTTTAATAATACAAATACATATTTGATCAGTCTTAAAATATACTTGATTAAAAATAGCAAAAATTAACACCCAGTGCGCAAATCAATGAGACCAAATTCAGGTGATAGAGTGAGCTACAGAGGGGGGTGTCATGGTTTCCAGTATTGAAGTTAGAACGAAAAAAAAAAGTACTTGAATAAAGGGCTTGATCTGTGACGATGTGGAATTTAGAGGGTTGGCCAGACTGTGTTTGTCTTGCATAAACAAATTGAAGTATTTATGTTCAGACAGGTACTGCACTTAGCCACTTTACAGTAGCAAGTAAGCTTTCCTAAATCTTCCTTGGCCATCTATATAGACAAAACTCATGAAAACCAAACAGAAAAAGGCTGAGGAACCAGATCTCATATTGCACAAATGTGTGGCCAATACCATGTTTTATGCGAGACTTTGTATTGGGGAATGGGTTTACATCCTCATAGCCAGGAAATTAGTGCACATTTGGCCATGCTTTTAAGTAATATATATTTCAGATACTGCAAAAAAGCTCAAATCTGTATTCAGAATTAGAACAAAGAGAGTACTGGAAAGCTTTGTTTGGGAATCAACCCACCAAACATGTCTACCTGACTCGCAGACTGGATGTTAAATATAAGCTAAACAATCGTGAAAAAAGCAAGTTAGAAATATAGTTTTGTTTACTCTTGGTTAACTGATCAAATTTCTCTTTAAAGTTTACTTAAGTGGTCTCTATTTTTTCTTCTTTTTTTTTGTTCTTCATGACCAATAGGGTTACATTTCTAACATCTTATTGCTCCTTTAAAAAACTTATAGCTAATTAGCATGGAAAGTAATTTCGGCAATACTTGAACTGTAAAATGGCTCTACATATTAGTTTAAAGTATTTAATTTCTAGATAAATTAATTAGAATAAATTTAAAGGTTCATTAAATAATTAATATTCCTACTAGAAAAACAAGTTTTTCAACCTGCCAAGTCGTCTTCTTGTTATAAGAACCAACAAAGGTTATGACACTTAAATGTTAGAAAAAATATTACTTTTGTTATTACATTTGGCCAGGAAGAGACATATGAAACTGCCACAATTTAAACATACCTCACACTCACACATATATATCAGTTTCCATTATACCTACTATTCTAACTATTTAATCAAGCAATATAACAGAGTGATAAAACATTCATAGGAATTTTGGACAACTAAGGTACTACGAAACATTTTTTTTTAACATTATACAAGCAATAAAATTCAAACAAAGCACAAACTTCTATAAAGGGCAGGTTAGCAAAGTCATACATACCTGCACATACATTACATATCACCATCGTGAGTTAAGTTAGAGCTGAACTTTGTGACTCATAAAATAACCAGGACTAATGAGCTGTGTATTGCAATGATGATTCACAAATATAACTGTCAAAAATTATTTGTAGTGTCTATCTGGACATACCAAGATATTACAACTAGAACAAAGTTTTCAGAAGTTATATGTGTTTTTCACATACAGATGCTAAGATATCACAAGTGGAGGTAAATTGTAAACAATAATTTGTAGTACTCACCTGAACATGCCAAGAGATTGCTCCTTGTACATAACTGTCAGGAATGAACCTTAATCGACTACGCTCCTTCTTTTTTCCACCAAATGACAAAATAGCTGATGAGAAAAAAAAAAGTCTTTTCAAAATTTACATTTTTATTTCAAGAGACTCAAAACAGAATTTTTTTAATTTAAGTTAAAATACTACTGCAATAAAATATATATATATATATATATATACACACACATACATATTAAACTCAATCACATTATTTTTCAAGAAACCAATAGCAACTCCGAAACATCATAAATTTAAAAACAATTATTTCAAAATATTATCATATAAATTATTATATAAAGACTGGTAGTTTTATATGTAATATGCATTTTCTTTACTATCAACTGAGCTTTATAGCTTCTTGTAAGAGCAATCAGTATTTCCAATTACATATAAACACTAGAGCTCTCAAAACTATAAAAATTTATAAGAGATAATTACTACGATCAAGTACCTGTATCATGAGAGTAAACCCTTCTAACTACCTAAAAAAAACTATTTTTTAAAAGTTAACCTGAAATGTTAGAATGATATGTCATTCAATGCAATTTTTTTAATTTTCTGAAGTAAAAATAAGCTGAAGTAGTGCAGTTTTCATTTTTTTTTTCAAAAATTGACAACATGTAATAGTTTCAAGTGCTTCAAACTATAAAATCAATGAAAGTGCTTGCCAGTAATACAATAAAATCATTAATCTCTTAATGGGTAGGGAATGCCTGTCAGTTGTAATTTAGTTAGAAAAGAAATAACAGGAGAACAAACAGATCCCAAATTCAAATTATTATAATTAAAGTAAAACTGAAAAGATGCAAAAAACTATAAATTACTGGAATGAGGTCTTCAATAAAAAAAACAGAGAAAAAATAAATCAACACTGAATGTGAATTTGACTGAAACTAACTTAAGGAAAACAAGTGCAAATTGTGTTTATGGATTGTGTATGCCCACACTAATGCTAAAGTTTAAGTCCCCCCAATTTGATGACATAGTTCTTATCCACAAGGTTAGGGTGGATTTTCTATGTATCAGTGACCTTAACTTTTGACACATGACCTTTAAAAGTTAATCAGGTCTGGAACTTTGTATGTAGTATCTGTTGTATAAGTTTGGTCAAAATTTATCCATCCAGTCCTGAGATATCCTGTTCACAAGATTGAGATGGATGAATAAACAGATGGAAGGTCAGGTGAAAACCAATATTCCCCACTCATTAATGCTAACAAACCTGAAGTTGAGACTATGACACAAGGGAAAATGTTTTTATATAAATGTGGTAGGAGTTTATGGGAATAAGAAGTATAAATACACACACACATGTACATATACAAGCTCTGTTGAAAATAATGCTACCAGCAGATCACTGTTATTATGCTCTACCTATGCTTATAAACTATAAAACACTGCTTTCAAACTATAAAATTAAGAGTGTATGTATACTTACAAAATTTTGGGCCTGAATCTATAGTTGTGTTTGTGACATGATTTGCTGCTAGATCTTTCAAGTATTCATGTCTTGTTCGCTGTGCCATCATTGCAAACTTCTCAGACTGGTGAGCAGCATTTTCAGCATTTATCACTATAAAAAAATTGTTCATCATGTTTTTATAATAAGCAACCTTATCAAAGTTAAATAAACCAACTTATAGGATGATCATGTTTATATCTTAAGATAAAGCTCTTTTATGTTAGCTCTACTTCTTTATTGCTCAAAACAACTAACAGACATCTCTATTTTGAAAAATTATTTTAAGATGGTAGTAGCAAGATTTCATAAACAAAAACAGGTGATAACAATTATGATTTAATTTCAAGCTTTTAGTACAGCAATTAACAAAGGCAAAAATATACAGTAGTACCTTTTGTAAGTAAGAAGTCAGCAAATGCTTTGGATTTGGGGTATGTTCCACTTTCTGGAATGGGTGGTCCAAAAACAGGAACATCTTTGGATCGACTGACAGCCACACTACAAAAAAAAAACACCAGAGAAATGAAAGCTGATCAATATCCTAAAGTTGTAAAACTATTACTCCCATAAAAAACAACAACATATATCTACAACACATTTTACAATGTCACGTATTACTAAACTGATGTTTTGTCCTGGTTTGAAGAAATCACACTCTTAAACAATTCACTGACATTTTAACTCAAATACACTATTATACTCAAACTCTTCAATTACTTAGTCATGGAAATATTTAGCAGACTGATAGAAGTTTTATAATGAAATGACACTATTTTAATTCAACATTTACATATATCCATTGTTTAGAAAACAACAATAACAACAAAAAAGGCCTCAACAATACATTTAATACAAAAAAATGCTTTGACCATCTGCAATTTGTGACCAACTAATAATTACTTCACTACCTTCCTAGCAATTGTTCATTCTATTTTACAGTACTGATAAAATAATCACATCATAATAACTTACACTTACATTGAGAAAACCATTAGCATTTTTCTATAATCTTTAGACTTATACTAAGTAAACTAACTTTCTTAGGACATACAAAGTTCCCTTTTTACCTGTAACATGTGTTTTCAGTACAAGGATTGATTGCACGGACCACAATGAAGACATGTTGAAAGTGGGAACGAATGTTCTTTGGTGTAAAAGGTAATGCATCAGGTTCTTGGAAAACAATAGTCACAATATCATTGCCAATGTGTCTTTTCCTTAGCAGCTGAAAAACATTTCCTTTTTAGTGAGATCTGAAAATATTTCCTAAGAATCTTGCTACATCTTGTAGAAAAGCCAATTATTAATGCAGAAATTCATTAATTCCAACAATAAAAAAAAAATTGAACTGGAGATTTATATGTGATTAATTTAAATAAACAACTAATTTGTAACATGAACAATTAATATAGTTTTTTAAAGTTTAAGATGCTAAATTTAGTGAGCATTTAAGGCTTATAATACCATAAATTTAAGCTTACCTGCTGCCTATTATTAGGGGTATAAGGTAACATTGTCGAGACATGAAACATTATTTCACAGTCTTTTAGTGTGGAGTATACAGAGTAGAGTCCTGTTGTGTCTGCTGCAAATTAAAAACAAAAAAAAAGCTATATCACTGTTAATTCCTTTAGACAGAATGCTTCTTTACTTTGGGATTACTGTGATGTTTCATTCTTGTTAATTACTTCCCCTAAACACACAGTCTTGTCATATAGTCAATTATAATTTGGTTTAAAGTCAATTATATATATATATATATACACACATACACACACACACACACATGCTAATTTATGTTGTGCTTTTTTTATAAAAAAAAATTACATACAAAAAATTATATAACAACACAGTAAAATAATTTAAAGTATACTTTTGTTATCAAGTCCAGCTCGATACTTCTCAAAGCCTTTTAATCTAACACGCTGACCAATCATTTCCAAGAATTCTTCAAAAGCTGGTCCAGAAAGTTCTGAAAAAAATAGTAGTATCAAATGAAAAATAAAATTCTTACACGTTTCAGTTTACAACAGAATTATTAAAATTATTAAAACCTATGAGAAATACATGAATTATTAACATTTAGTCAACAGATTATCAATTAAAATTATGTAAGGAAATTTTCAATCTACATGTATAGTTTAGCATTAATTTCTCTTTAGAGCTTACACTTTCTGAAAAGATTAGAGTAGATTAAACACAACTCTCAAAAACCAATCCGCTAAGATGGATTCAGAACTGCTTGAACCTAGAGTTAAGATAATATTTTATGAAAAAATCCATCTGTACAGATAATAGCTAAATATTTGTCCATCTGTCATGTTCTGTATCTCTTGAATGGAAAAAAAATTACATATCAAAATGCTTCTTTTCAAAGGTACATTAAAGAAAAATTATTCATTTTTATAATTCCTAAAATTTCATATTAATATCAACCTCAATCTTGTTTGTTTTTGAAGTTAAGCACAAAGCTACACAATGGGCTATCTGTGCCCTGCAACCTTGATCTGTTAGTCTTCATGTGCACTGAATGGTCAATCTGAGAAAATAACTTATTAAAAACAATTTTTTTTTTTGAGGGAATTTCACAAAAAAGAATGGAACTTCTTTTGTTGACTGATTGAAAGAAATATTTTGAAGATAAGAGCATGAACAGAAAAAATGCATAAAATGAGGAACATGTTTGAATATATAATATTTGTTGTTGTTCGATATATATTTATTTTATTTTCCCATGTTGGTATTACATACATACATGCATGATTTTATTGTATCATGTCGAATAAATTGATTTGAATATTTCTCCTTTGACACTTCTTGTAGAAATGACAACTGTCAAAAAGCACTCACTTCAGTAGTGGTCTTTTCTTGCACTCAGTCAAATGACAAGGAATGGTGGCATACAGCAGAAAAAAAATTGCTGTGGCTAGCTACTTAGCAAACTTGAATGCTCTATTGTGCTGGATGCACATATTGCAACAAAACCAAAACACTTTTGCCAACAATGCATTGTAGTTGGTCTCCTTAGCTTACAAATAAATGCAATGCAATTTTCATTATTGAAATACCACATGGAAAGACGAAAGACAGTTGTAAATGGCCCACTAGACAATCATATTGCATATACACTGATCCAAGGGATTGGGTTGACTCTACATTTTATATTTATTCATCACTATTTTTAGGAAAATTACTGTCGAATTGTTTCAATGGGCATCTGCTAATATAATCATAAATTAGACTCCAAAATTATGTCTTTGCATAAATCATATAAAAGCTCTAAAAATCAAACATGAACAGTCACTTCCCTCAAAGTGCTGCTATAAAAATAACCTTAAAAAATCTCCAGAGTATTACTCAAAAATATGCTTGACAGTAATTTAGCAATTTATTTTCAACAATCTTTTTCTGAAAATTCTGACAAATATTTCTAGTAAAAAAGGAATATTATAACCAAAATATTTAAGATGTATCTACATAAAAAAGTTACATACTATTTATCTGTTAATTTTTTTCCTTTACTGAAATGTGGATTTCAGTGAAGAAATGAAGATGCAGAAGCCTAATCTATTATTTGACTCACTACTCCTACTGTAACAGACTAGTAAAGGACCACAGATCTAACAAACCAATTACATAATAAATTGGCATACTTATACAGGGTTCTTGTTAGGAAAGTAGATATATGAAAAAAATGCCACGGGATGCACACTTCAGGCAGAAATGACAAAAACTGGTGTATACAGGTTTTAAGATATGTTGATTTCAGAAACCTAGGGAAGGAAATTGTCAAAGCAAGGCTTCCTGCTTGAAATTGAGGATCATGTAAGTTTGAGTTGAGAATATTTTGATATGTATGTTTATGTTATATTTTATTTATATGTAATCCAAAACACTTAGTTCCCTCACTTTAATTCACATATTTTACAAAAATAGTACAAAACATACAATCATCCCCTTAGTGCAATAGCAAGTAAAATGACACATGGCTGCCACAATAATGAGTGAAATGCACTTGCTTCTTTCTTCTTTTGACTTCAAATAAAAATTGCATCAAATCTGGGAAAACTTCAGTATGTGCTTTCCTTAACAATTTTGAAATGTGTCTTTCAAGTTCAAGTGCACCTTTAGGCAATACTGAGTCAAGTAACTTTGTCATAATGCACTTATATAAAATGTTTCAACTGGCAAGGACATATTTTGCTGTTGAAAACTACTTTCTTTTTTAAAATAAAATTGACCATGCTTTCAGTAAGAAAATGCATTTTACTCTTTTCCCTAAAGAAAAAGAGAAAAATTACACTCAGTATCAGCTAAAAGGACACTAAATCAATAAACTTGGCTAGAGCACTTTTCTTCTTAATGAGAAAAACTGATTTATGTACAGTAACATTGATATAATTTAAAGAACATTTATATAAAAGTATATTATTTGTCATCTTAATGCTGTTGAACTTTATTCAACAAAGAAGCATTGGAGCAGTTTCCTTTCGTCTAGCAAATATTCTGACCATTTGCTAAATATATGTGACAGATTCAACAATTCCTTCAAATAAATAATATACATAACAGGATTTTATCTGTTACTTTGATGAATATCCACAGTACTACAATGAGCATTAGGCATCAATAATGGTGTTTGCAAACAGTTGAGTATCTTTGGAAAAATGACAAATAATGGCAACAGATACAGACTCCATAACAAAAATGAAGTTATGTAACACAACACTGTGGAACTCACATAGCTATATTAAACAAGAGTAGAAATGAGACTTGGATGTTAACTCATAAAGAATTACACTAAAGATTTCACTCTAAACCTAGTCCATAAATATGTTTAAAAATTAGATTTTTTACATCAGCAGGTCATGAAACTAAACCCAGATTTACAGTAATCTTTCATACTGGGTTTTCATTTTGATTAGGTTACATTATTTTTTATAAAATACAAAGAAAAACTAGTTTTGCATCTTTTTTAAATTAAACATGTCAGACATTGATATTTCATCATTTTATAACTTGATATTTCACAAGTTTTTGAAAAGAAATGCACCCAACACCATTGGGCCCAAAATTTTCATAAATGGACTCAGAATACTGGAGGGGTGGGGTATACATGTATTTTGAGAAAACTTTAAATTCTGAAAGAACATTTTAACATTTTTAGAGATAAGGGGGCAGGAATAGTAGAAGTTATGTAAAATCAGTTGTATTGTGAAACAGTAAAAACTATTATTAAGAATCACAAAAAGTACAATAATGTAAGAGGTATATATTTTTGTATTAAATTACTAAGAAGATAAAGTGCTCTTCTATAACAACAAGAGAAAGTATAATAAAAATATTAAAGGAATTGAAAGAAAGTATACTTGAGAAGCCTAAACTAATTTATTTTTCAATATATTTTAATGTATTTAATTTATACAAGGATTGCATTTTACTTTTGTACATTTTGAAAAGTATGTATGTAAATCAGTATGTTTAGTTGAAATATGGTATTTGAATGTTTTTATTATATTTTGCTCATGAAATGAGTAGAAGAAATTAATAAAGAGAAAAAGGTCTAAGTATTATATTGTTTTGTTATTCATATCCACAGGTGGAAATTTTTGTTTTTTGGTTATACATACACTCAGAAATAAATCTAAATAGTCCTGATATAGGTATTTCGATTTTTTTTCAATATTCTAAAAAAGAATATCAAGAACTTAGAAAATTACTGTATTGGCCCAATTATAAAGCAATGTTTTTTGACTAACAATTAGGCTGTAAAATTCATAATCGCCTGATAATCGTGGCTGACCATAGGCCCCTTTCCCCAATTCTAGCCTGTCGCATTCCTGGATGTCCAGATAGCATCCATCTATGCATGCGCACCAGATGTTCATGCAAGGTCATTACTAATTCTTGCAACTAATCCATCTGCAGGCTGTTCAGTTATAGTATTGATTTTGCAGACTTAAAAAAGGACATTATGACACTTAATTTTTTTTTCTTTCCCATGGTTTCTGAAAATGGGGGGGGGGGTCACCTTATATTCAAGAGCACCCTATAATCAGGCCAATATGGTACTTTTACCTCATATAATTGCTTACAGAAAGAGTCTTAACTTAAAACTTTGTATTTGAACACTAAAAGGGAAAATGTACCATTATTATACATCTCTCCTTCTGTAGACTGTCCAGCTTTGCAATACATCACTCCAACTTTATATGTTTTGGTTACCTAAATTAAAATATATCAAGCTCATGTAAGATAAAAATGTTAATAAAATAAATAAATCCACAATGTTAATAATGTTACCCTGAAGAAAAACACCACTCCTCTAAATACTTTGTTTTATTTTGCTCTGGTAGAAATAACAGTTCATAGAAAAATGTACTGAGATTATAAAATGAAACCTTAAAATATCAACATATATAATCAAACTAAACCATAAATAGCTCCAGAAAGAAATGCTTTAATTAATTATGCAATAATCACAAACAAGACTGACACAAAGCTACCACAGAATTTAAGTCTAAAAACATGTAATTGCCTTGATATTAACGTAAACACTTTCTTTAAAAACATTTTCTCCATACTGTATTTATTTAATAAAACAATTTTTAAATGACAAAATGGATTGAACTAAAAATTAAAAGGTTCTCTTGTCATTTGAGACAGAAATAATTCAGCCACTGACTACATTAAACATAATACTCTTAACAAAAACTAGTTCATGAAAAAATACATTAGTGCAGCCACATATCAGGTTCTCTAGGTTTAACAGAAATCTTTGACTATTAACTGTAATATTGCTTCCAACAGCAATAACTCAACCAACTTACAAGACTAAAGTATTGATTCTAAAATGCACTGTACATAATATAACATACAGTATTATAAATAATCACAGAAACACACAAATACACATAAATAAGTCATTGCAACTAAATGATCAACTTATCATTTGTACAATGCATTATTACAAAAAATACAAAATAAAATAAGAACGTTCTACTGTGCACTATAATTTGATATTTGCTTTAAACAGAGCACTACATACTGTTTTATGCTAAAATAAGTTTTATCATTGTACAATTGTAAAATAATGTTTCAAATATCCTGTATTACTCTCCACAATCTAATCATGTTGCTTGGTTACCATTTAACCATCTCAGTTTTCATATAAGCCTTAATAGTATTTAGGCCATGGTATGGATGTTCTATCAGCTCGCTTCACTTTAATTTCAGTTATTGTTTTACCATACTTGTTGCTGATCACTGTCTTGTGGGAAGATGAATTCCTGACAAACAGATCTTGTTCCTGGATGAATGACATGATGGATAAGAACCTGCTTGTACCTGTCAACATTTAGAGTGTCATCAATTCTGTGTAAATCTCCAACACAATTGGCTGAGATTCTGCCCACACTTGTACTGATTCCCCAGCAATGTTGTATGTTGACCGTGGTACTGTTATCTTCTTTGACAATGAGAAAACCATCATTAAATGTTGGCAAACAATTTAAATTTAGATTAATCTGTAAATAGTACCATCCTCCAGCTTTGCTCATTCCATTTTTTTAAGTCTAGTGCCTATATAGATTTTTCATTTTGGTTATTTCTTCTAAGCAATGTTTTTAGAGTAGCTACACATTCATTGAGACCACTTCATGTTAATGTGTATCTTAATGTTCTGAATGCAAAATTCACACCTTTACTTACAGATAAGTCATTAGAAAGACCTTTACTGGATTGCATTTTAAATGGCATACCAAGTTACTTAACATCACTTTTGAATAGTTTGGGGTCTCTACCTCAACTGTTTCTATAATCAACAGTAAAAGTTTCCATACAGCCCCTAATAAGATTTTTCCTCAATCTGCCACATGGAGTAGCCCTTCACCAGATAACTTTTATTTCTATACATTTTGCATCTGGTGTTTCTTTCCTTGGTACCATGACTGCAATTATGACATTACTGCTGGGTAGAGTATGACTGACTGTTGATGTTGCTGCTTGTGACACTCCGTGATTGGTTGGATGCCAGCCAATCACAGTGTATGTCAGCTTAAACGTTCAGACCTTTAAAAAAAAAACTGTAACCATTCTATTAATCTAATTATATGAATTTATCTTAAACATAATCCTAACATGTACTTTACTTTACAGTATGTTGACCTAACATGGAATTCTCCAATCTATTATTTTTTACATTTTTCATAACTTAAGTTATATGGAATCAATAAATATCCTTTGTGATATTGTTAATATAGAAAATAAGCAACTCATATCTGCTTAAGTTTCGAGTTCCTAATAACTCAATAATTCTAGCAAGTACTTTGAAAATCAAAACAGGAATATGTTTTCTTTACTAGTACACAGCACACAAATCACTTTAATACATGTTGTATTGTACACATACATAGCATGTATTTATCAAAACAACTGGTAATACAGATATAATACAGTGCTTTACATAAACTGTTAACCAAGATATAATGTCGTAAAACCCTTCTTAAAAGGTATTTGCTACCAACTACTAGACTGATTTCTGTGACAAAAGGGATGTTATTTGTCATACATCATTTTACATGTCATAAATTTCCATCTTTTTTTATGTCTAGTAAATGCAGGTTGACACCTTCCAATATGTACCTGAAAACTGACAACATTTACTACAAAATATTATTGTTAAAAATTATCCATTTTTCAAAAGTTACAAGCCATATTTAAACCTTTATTTTGACAAAAAAAATTGATTAAACTCTTCTCTTTAACTAAATAAATCACTATTTGTTAGTCTTAGTTAACACTTTAACATAATCAAATTTTGATTAATACATATTTGAAATAAAGTGTACAAAAAATTTAGCAAAAGATTTTTGGTTTCAACTCACCCCTTGTTCATCCAATTTTAAAAGTTGTTCTTCAGTCTGATGCCCTGGCACAGCAAGCCTTAAACATGATATTTGCAATTCAGGAGCTACATATTCTAATACTTCTCGAGCAAAAGAACCTCTGCCCGAGCTGGATCGCCCAAGTGAAGGAATGGCTTCTTCTAATACACTTCCGCGTAATACCACCAACTACATGATATTTCAGAAAGCAATTCTCTGAGCATCATGAGATCAAATTATAAAATGCAATAAGCAAGATCAAATTAAACATTTGAACCCCTGCTCTAGACTATAATGAGTTACACAATTCACTATACATGTCAAATAACGCCATTAGCACACTAATACTGGTGAGAAAATTAATGTGTACAAATTAATTCAGTAAGGTTCTTAAAAAATATCTTTTTAAAATAGGTGTTGATCCATAGAAATTGTCATAAAGCATTCTAGTGACTATTTCAATTTTCAACAGCTTAATAGTTTAGTATTAAATAATAGAAAATAATTGATACAGAAAATTAATTGTTTACGTGTATGTTGTATGGAAGTTTACTGTAATTATCTATTATCCATGTATAAATAAACACTTTGGTAACTAAAATACATGCATCTGGTACCTTTATGTACCAAGTATGATTGGAAAAATGCTCTTTTATAAATGGGTCTTGTTTTCCTGAGTATTTTATGTTGCTGAAGATTTTATCTTAAAGTAGAAATATATTTTGCAAACGTGCGTGTGTGTCAGTATTATAAAACTAAACTGTACTGTTCTGCATTCTATCACACAATTCATAGAATTTTGGGTCAAATAATTAAAAACTAAAAAGAAATCCAATAAAATTATTTTATTGAGAATTTTCATTGTGTGTGTGTGTGTGTGTGTGTGTGTATAGTAATGTTGCAATTTCTGTGCACTTACAGCACTATCAAGTTCTTTACATAGGATAAAATATAATAACTAGGTGTACACATTCTATGGACTTTTTGTAATAAGTGCAGTAAAATACAGAAGCTTTATCTAAGGCTAGGATGCCTTACTCACTTCACTGGTCCTCACAATCAACCGGTACTGAAAAAGTGCTTGAGTAATAGAGTAACTTCCAGAAGGTGACGAGTTGCCTGGGTCTTCAACTCTTTCTCTCTTGATACTAATAGCAATTGGACCTAAGGTTTCATCAACACCAAACCAATTCTGATGATCTGAAAACATTAAGAAATAAATTAAACATAAGACCTAGTTAAGGCTTTCTTTGCCAGAATGAAAAACAGATGATCAGGTTATAATAATTTTCATAAGTTTTTCCACACTGGTAGTTTCAGATAAATAAAAATTGTATAGTGACTGGCAACAAGCCAGTTGTGAGAAACATAATCTTAAATTTCTTTAATCCTGTAATTACTACAGTAAAAATACATTAAGAAGACTCAGATATTTATAAGAAGACTGAATTTGTATTACTTAATGCTCACTTTACATTGAGTGAAACTAGACAAAAATCGTCTGATATATAGAAGATAAAATCCACTAAAGAAAAATCAGTTGTGAGAACTTTATAAAGGTTTGATTTTTAACACTTTGATTGAAAAATGCAAACAAAAAAGTAAGCTTTTTTAATCAGGTATTGTAAACCTTGTGATATAACTATATTTCGCTTTCTATTAAATAGTTAATACAACAGTTTACTTTCTTTAGTGGCACACCATACATTTTTGAAAAAACAAATTAACTAAATTTCAAATAATGCCTTACACTATAATTAAACTTGCCACAGCATACTTTTTGTCATCTCACATTTTTAATAAATTATTTAAAACCTTTGAAATAAATTTGAAAATAATACTGTTCTATGAAAATAACATGTTTTAAGAGACATAGAAGAATGACTCAACAAGTGAAAAAGGAATGCTGTATCACAATCTCTGTAAAGTAGCTTCTTCTCAAGTTGAAAACCAAAAAATGAATTAATAAAACTTTGTAAAGTTTGTAAACTTGAAATTGAAGTGATTATACATTTATTTTCAAATTAACTTTTTTCATGGAGTAATTCTTAAATTCTAAGCTCAAGAAACTTAATACTATCATCTTGAGCAAGTAATGATATACAGATTTTAAATACCTATTAATTTTGATTGCTTTAATCATATTTTAATTCAATAGAAAAATCATAAAAGTTATAAAATCTGATGGAGTATGTTTATTTATGGACATTTAAAAACATTTGAGACAAACTATTAAGAAAATTCAGTGACTGAAATGCTTGGAGGAGTTTATAGTGTCGTGCACAAAAAATATTGAATGCCACAAATAAAAAACTACATGCATGTATTTTTATCCATGTTTGATTAAAAAAAGTATTACTACTCTATCAGTACCTACTGTATAAATACTGAAGTCCAATATAAACATTTCAATAAAACTTGAATACATGCAGTGCTTGCCAATCAATGCTAGTACTAACAGTTCATATAAATGTTTGGATCTAAATGGTCAAGGTTATGTATCAATTCAGTCATTTTATCATTTCAGCACATAACACAAAAGGCTTACACTAAGATTTGTTCATTCACATATGTTACATTTGTTGGCCTATAAAAATGTTTGTTTGTTCTTGTCTGTCATAAGTCTACGATATGATAACTTTTTGTTTCTACCTTCATTACATAGATCAGTCAGTTTTGTTCATTTCTTTAAAACCATCTGTTCGTCTTTTAAGTAATGTTTCATTAAATTTGTGTTTTATCCCTCTATCAATAAATCCCTTCTCTTATTCAGATGTTTATTCATCTACATACCTTCATTTCTACATCCGTCTGTTCATCCTATTTGTTGTGCTGTCCTATTGCTAGAAAGCTGTAATTATCACCATGTATGAATTTATTCATTTGCTTATTTTCAAAGCCATTCTGTCACTTTCTTCAGTTTTAGTTTTTACTGGTTATTTTCTTTTTCATCAATCATTACTGGTCCTATGTGACCTTTACAATTATAGTTCAATGGCCCATTGGCTTATCCATTTGACAATTGCTCCAGATAAACTGTTAGTTCATGTTGTATTTCTGCATTTTCTACTCTACTTAGTCCCTCCTATTCGTTAGTCAGTTTAACTTCCATCTTTACACTATCAAGCTAAGTAATGAGAAACCCAGAGTAAGTCACCTGTCATACTTGGAAGTCAGTCAATGTTCATGGTCTCCGGCTTTGTTAAATGACAAAATTGAAGTTGTTGTTTTTTTAAACATGAACATCTAATATTTTTCTTTACATTTTACTCTATGCCTGCATATAACTCTTGGTTTTTACAATAAGGGACATATATGGTTTATGTAAAAATGTATAATTTTTATTGAATTTGTATCTTAAACATGTTATATAATGTAAACACTCCTGTTGTAGTTATTAGTTACCACAAGCCTTCTTTCTGGCACTATTTCAAACTGCAAAGTTGTGCTTACTTTTGAAATCAAAGACAGATTTCACATTAACCAATGGCTGTGTAATATGTTAAGTTTGATTTTGATTTAAAGAAGAATAAATTGTGCTGAGCATGACACCTTTGGAAAGTATTTTCATAGTCTAGTATGAAGTGTAAATGCTTCCCATTGTCTAACACACTGTGCATACAAGATATCCTGAGGATAAACATTATACAAAGATTATTTCAATTTTGTGCCTATGAGTGAAATGTTACATTATCAGTTATCTCACTACACAGTTGATAGTAAGAACCAACAGTAGCAAAACAGTACTTATAAATTATTTCATTCAAGTTTTTGAAAATTTACTTTTTACTAGATTAATTCTTGGAAAAAACATTTGTCAAATTAACATTTTTATCATACAGGACACACTAAGGAATATAAATAATAAACATATGTTACACCTAGAGTTAAAGAAAGGAACATAATTATGAATGATCATTTTCTCTTGATTATATATCTTTTAAATCAAACATATCTTAGTATTGATTATCTAATATTTCCGTTTAACCATTTTAGGTAAAATATATTTTAAAATAAACTTGAATATAGTTAAACAAAAAAGGCAACTTGTTGAAACTATGTGTTAAGCTTTTTAATTATTTATTGGTGCTTTTAGCCATTTGAAACTTTTATATTCTAGTAATGAAATATCAAAATTTCATTTTTAACATTTTAGCAAATATTCACATTACACAAATCACTTGGGATAACTCAGGTTTTGGTATAAAAAGGAAGGAAAATATTTCAGTAAAAATAAACTTTCTTTAGATGATATAGGTATGTACAGAAGTGATTTCATGCTCAAGATATTTTTCACATTTTTAATGCTTAAAATTATGTTTTCATCTAAAAGTATCTGGTCATTTATGACACTTTTGCTTTTATAAAATCTTGAACCAACATCAAAGAGCAAGGAGACTTTGCACCCAATATTTTCAATCCTACTGATGTCCTAAATCACATCAATTACCAGATTTTTCATACTCTGTTAGAAAGAATTATAAAATTTTTATCATATAACAGTACTATCATTTCTAAACTCTAACCTAAATAATCTTGTATGTATTAAATTCTCAAAATCTTAACTATGGAATGAAAATGTATTTGAAAATTTATATTGTTAGTTAGTATTAAGTGTTTTTGTACTCCTAATTTTTAAATTATATAAGGCACTCTAAAATAATGTCTGCAAGCACAATATAAAATATGCATATGTTAAAATACAAATAGGATGTATCAATCAAAACTAACTTAATCTATATAACTGTTTTCATTATGATACAAAAACCCTTACCTTGATTATAGAAGTAACTTCTGTAATACATTGCTCCTAGATCTGTACCTTCTATCTGTAAATGTGATTGCTGGTAAGGACAAGAATATTGCTGTTCTCTGTGGGCACTGGCATTCTCTAATACAGAAAGTCCGCATGCCATACTAGGTCGATGTAATGTTGGCCATGTTCTTCCTATAAAATCATGCCATTTTTGTTTTTTGGAAGTTATTCTATTAAGACTTACAAATCTTTCTTCTTCTCCTCCAAGTTCATTACGGAAAAAAGGGCAGCTTAAAATAAGGTTGTTGCTTTTGTCATCACCAGGATCTGGTTCTTCCACAGTCATGCCTTCAGCACCATCGTTTGGAGTCCTACTACTCATGGAAGCTGCTGAAGCACCTGTAGTTGTGTTCCTTCTTTTATTTAGCAGATTTCTCAAACATGATGCATAACTTAAATTAGCAGTAATGCTCTGGCAGTCATAATGAGCCAAAACTTTTTTCCTTAATTTATCCTCGAACCTACTTTCTGCATCTAGAGAGTTATTTGAGCCTTTACCACTAATTTCAGCAGCTATTTCAGACTTTCCTCGTAACTTTTTAAAAAGAGAAGGTTCACTACCAAGCAATTTATTTCTTGTTTTTTTGTCTTTGATCTCCCAAAATTTGTGTATTTTAGTTTTTAATCTTGGACTCTGAGAATCCTCTAAGCTATCTGGTCCATTAGCTAAAGCATTAGATGCATTTTGTGTAGTTGGGGCAGGGTCAACTTTGCCCCTCAAGTACTCGTGAATCTTGGCAGGTCCTGGACTTCGCTGATCAATTTGATCAGTCTTATACTCCCTGAGCATGGCAAAGAAACTCTGAGTCTCTCCAGTTGTACTTATCACATCAAGAGAGGATGCACTCCCATAATCTCGATGGAGAACACCAGTTCTACTGTCTGCATTTTCTTCACTGTGTTCTAGGTCTAAACTACTATTACTACGATGTAACCCAACACGGCTCTGAGAGTTCATATTGTTCATAACTCCTGAAACAGCAGCATGTTCTCCTGGTGCTCGATTTGTACGCTCGCTGTGAGTTCTATGTGGACGGTCACTACGTGGATAAGGAGGGGGAAGAGGTCGCTCAATGCTTTGCACAACAGGACATTCACTTGAAGGGAGTCCAACATCTGATGATCCAAAAGAAGGTGGCATATTCACTCCATTCACTAAACCATTTAAGCGTGTCATACTTCCACTTTTGTACAGAGCCCCTTCTTGTAAACCACGACGATGAGACTGTGGTACACAATTGTTATAGTACTGCATTGTACGAGCTCGTAAAACTTCAGAAGTAAGACCATTTCCAATTGAAGAGCCATTGCTTTCTGTTTTTTGAGCAACCTGGGCCATGTTACAGTTTCTGCGTTTTAGCTACCTCTGACAAATGGCAGAGAAAACAACTTCATGAACATCCATAAACTTCTGTTGTGGTTGTCGTGGTAACACAAAAGTCTTCATGGCATATGCAACAGGCTTTAGTTGGAATCACAAGAAACAGTATGGGGTTGACTGACCATCTGGAAGTAAAAAAAAAATGGGTGGTTTACTAAATAAAATTACATTGTCAATAGAAGCATCTTCTTTAGAGGAAATCTCAAAGAAGTGCATGCATTCATGCATCACAACTGTATATATCATCTGGAGGTCAACACATAACACCACTATGGACAGGAAATGGAGAATTAAGTACACCACCACTCAAGCGATAATACTACTATTTTGCTCTCTCTTACTATTTATTAAAAGGTCTCTTACCCTTAGATAAGTTAAGATCAAACAGCAGGAAATGAACTTTTTTAATTACTAGCAAATTTTGTAAAAGATACATACCATGGTATTATTATCATGCTATCTATCACTTTAGGTTTACATAATTGGCAGGGTTAAGCACCAATTCAGAATTTTTATGATCATATCAAAGAAAATATGTTAGTGACTTCTAGGTCAGAAAACAGATATGTTATTATTTTTTTATAGTTAAAAAAGTATGTAATAAAAACACTTTCTACTCTACTCATTAAACCAAAAATATTACTTTCAGGTGCATTGTAAATGAGTAAATTCCTAAAAACAAAAACATTTAAATCTTGTATATATTCTCAAAAATCACATTATTTCTATTTTAAATATTTTTGCATTCTCCTTCCGCTTACAGATTCCTGTTATAATTATTTGAAGTTGATAAATGTCAGTTACTAAATGCTACTGAGTATTCATCAGTATCTTTCAACTTAATGACATGAACATGAAAATACCATAAAACTCATCCTTTCAAAGGATATCAGAAACTTTATAGTAAATGCTACTGAATATTCATCAGTATCTTTCAACTTAATGACATGAACAAGCAAACACCATAAACTCATCCTTTTAAAGGATATCAAAAACTTTATAGTAAAGCAATGTACTGAGTTTCTTAATATATTCATATAAAACAATATTTTGAAAGCAAAATATATATACTTAAAAAAGAAATCATTGGATACCGCAAGACTAAAATTATAATACTTAAACATTTCAACATCTACAGGATACAAACAAAAGTAATTTTTTTTTAAGAGTTACTAAGCTATTTAAAATTAAAACCTAACAGAATAGTTGACAATACTTTAATCCCATGTGTACATATGTGGTTCAAAGTGTGCATGCTCCAACCTTGTACAGAATGTTATTCAACATAGTATCATGTATTTGATGTCAGAATTATCAACATTTTGTGTTACCCTACACTGCTGATTTCGCAACAGTTTGTGTTAGAGTAGAAACATTACTAGATACAATATAAATGGATTGTGAAAATAACTTTAGATGTGCATTTAGAAGGTTATGCAAATACATTTTTCAAACTGTACAATGGACAAAAATAGTTTTATTCTTCACATGAACATCACCTCATACTCCAACTTTTTAGAGCCTGAGTCAGATTGACTTTGATATTTCACAATATCTTTGGTACAGAAACTTTAGTAACATCTGATTTTTGTTTTCAAAAGACTAGTACTATTGACTCAAAACATGCCATATTATGTGAAGATAAACTTTGTAAATTTGGAACTATAGTCAATGTTACTTCTCCAATACAGGGTCAGTCCATTAGGCTGATCCCATCCATATTCAATTAATAATTGCAAGTTACATAGAATAAAAAAATTCAAGGTCATTGACTAAGGTTGTTGAAAAAAAAAAAAAACATTTCACATTATTTACAAAAAAAAAGAATAGGAATACAATATTTCTATTAACATACACAATGCATGCTTTTTGAAAGTCACTGGAACATGCTGTCTATAAGATCATGGAATGAACCTAAATAAAAAAAAAAATTATTCTATAGTATTTCTTATTTAGGTAAACTCATTCTTACAAAAGCTGATATTTGAGGTAAGTAAAATACTTCAATAATTGTTTGTAGACAAATTCTGTATCTTTTTTTTTTTAATGCATAAACACATACAGATAAAAGAATAAATTTTATACATTGTAAATATTTAATTTATGCACTTAAATTAATTAAGGTACTTGTCTTATGTTCTGATGATATTAACACAAAATCATTGAAAATGTAATCATAAAAACAACATAAACTGAGATTTTCTGAAACTAGCTTGTATTAACGATAGACAAAAATAAGTTTAAAAAAATAATAATTATTGGGCATTTTGATATCTCATTCCATCGTCAATAAATTCTGAAGTAAATAAAAGAGATAAAATGAACTCAGCAGCATTTATAGTAGTGTAATGAACATTTTAAAATGCAATAAACATTAGAAAAAATACTCAAATACACACATGGCAGCCATAGAAATAAAAAAGCTACAAAATGTAACCAATCAAGGTTAAAATTAGCCTAAGGAGGTTCAAGAAATGTATACATATATTATTTTGACTTCTGTTTCAAACAAAGTGTGGGAATGTGTTGTCAGAAGGTACTTATAAAAGCATGCAAGAAGTTGGCATCTTATTAACATTTTTTCAGTATGTTTCCAAAATGGTAAAATATTAACATAATTTTTATTTTAAAAATATTTATAACTGTACTTGAAAGACACTTGAACAGTAATCCCCTCCCTTAATAGAACAAGGATCCCAGAAAATTGTCTGGCTATGCAAGTGGGTTGCAAGTTGGAAAAGCTTGCAAACCTCCGGTTTAGCCTACTAGTTGCACAAAAAGTGATTGAAATAACTAAACAGAAATTACGCAATGCCTAAATAGATGAACTCAATAACTGGAATATTCAATTGAAGGTTAAGGATGAGTTATCAAATATAACAAGAATATGAACTGAAGTATAATGCAAATTTGTTTTTAAGCAAATTTACATATCAAAACAATCATTTCTTGTTACAATTTAACATATTAATGTCAAGGAAACAATATCCAAGGTTTTGTCCTACTGATTATATGATTAATCATGTAAATTTCAACAAATTTACTTCTTATCCTTTATTAAGAAAAATAAGATATTTATCTTGACCTATCCTCATATGTTAATCTTTTCTTCATGTGAACCATCCTAGTAGCTCTTCTCTGAGCCATTTCTAATAACTTAAATAAGTCAATATCCTTAGATGAGGAGACAAAAACTGTACATTGTATTATTTCAAGCGAGGCCTACTAATGAGTTATTTATTATATAAAGTGATCCCAATTTCACTTGACCTAATCAGTTAAGTACAATATTTAAACTGAAATAATAAACCTAATTACTTTTTTTCATATTTTGGCTTTAGTCCTTTTATTCAAAGGCTACCTGTAAAATCCTAACCAGTTTGTATACATTGAAAAGTTATTTAGCATGTACATAAACAAGTAATCATATACAACTTTAGGATTTTTAAACTGGTAAAGAATGCAGATTGCAATATTTAAAATTACATATTACTAGATGTTTTATGGACTTTTTTCTACTGATAATTTACTTTCCTAAGGCAATCCTCCTATAATATGAAGTTCTTCTAACTTATATATGACTGTTATGTTTCATGTCTTTAAAATCTAATGAATTAGTATACTTCATGATTTATCATACAAATAACTGATTTTCTGATATAACAATTATTAAATCTACTGTTTATACAAATTTCAAGCAAAATGTCTGAAGTATTTAATAAAACATAAAGGCAGTAAATCAATTTATAATTGGACTGTGAAGCAATAAAGATATGCTTTTGAATATCTTTTAGATTTTTTCCACATTTAAAATGACATTCACATTTTCTATGTGTAATTTTTGGTGGTTACTTCAACTTGGTGTCAAAATAAACCATATTCTAATAATAATAATATGTTTACTCCTACGTTACAACATGCAGAACATTAACTCATGCTCAAAAGCTAAACCAACACAAAACATGCAAGTAAAACTCTGACGAAACGGACATTACTAATATTAGTAATATCAAATACACCTGTGTTAACATACTTACAGTTACACAGTACTAAGCATGTGGAAATACAAAATAATCACGTTTAAATGTTGGGCTAACCAACCTGTTGCAGGGTTAGATTATCATCAAACAGTTTTCGCTCAGTTTTGGTCCTTGTCCCCCACACGGAGTTAATATTTTAAACCTTAATAATCGCATCATTTTTCTTTATCAACTACGATACATTTAAGATACAAGTGTTTTACACATCACTGACATAAAACCGCCAGAAACTATAACTACTACTAGTACTACTACATCATCAGTACATTCAACGTAATTTCCTATCACGTGATACAGGTAACTACAGCCACGCAGTCAACTGCCTATCAAAGCACAAACGCAACTACTGATAGTGAGATGCATGACGGGATATTCAAAACATCGACAAAGACGTGGTAACCTCGCTTGACCACTTTCTAGACAACACCCTTTCTGTCACCCCCTCCCCCCTTGCTCAAACCTGTACATTAAAGAGTTTTTAAAACTACTCAGCTGCTGTGCCCGTCTTGACCTCTACATTTAGCTAGAGAGTAACGTAACTGGACTAAAGAGAGTCGTTATCCAACTTTTTAGTTTCTTATGAGACAGGCTTTCACTTCTTGAGAGCTAAATTACGCGCCTCGAGCTATATCTGACTGTATAGTAGGTAGTACAATAACAAAACGTGATCTTTACCATCTTTAAATTCGTAAGATTTGTAATACACCAAACTTTACTTTTTATCATGCATTTTTACATAACACATGATACAGTTTCTATTAAAATAAAACTTTATTAAATGCTCACATGTTGAATTCGTCATTTAACTTACAAAATCATCAATATAACGAAATATTGCTAATACACCAATAGAATTATGCTTTTTAGCAATCAACTTATGTATCATATAAAGTACACATAAAATGTTAAGATATAATACTGAGTTCAATATACTATATTATTGCTATGTAACTTATTTTGTGTTATTGTTTAGTGTAAATATTTATAATTTTTTCTTTATTTTTTGTAGTTGCATGATGTCACTGATTTGGTCAATGGGTTCCACAGTTTTCCGTATATGTGAATGGCTTAGGTACCAATTAAAG